CTGTTTAATTTACGTGAAATCGGTCCTTCTGTTTAATTTATATGAAATCGGTCCTTCTGTTTAATTTATATGAAATCGGTCCTTCTGTTTAATTTATATGAAATCGGTCCTTCTGTTTTAATTTATATGAAATCGGTCCTTCTGTTTTAATTTATATGAAATCGGTCCTTTTGTTTAATTTATATGAAATCGGTCCTTCTGTTTAATTTATATGAAATCAGTCCTTCTGTTTAATTTACATGAAAGTGGTCCTTCTGTTTAATTTACATGAAAGTGGTCCTTCTGTTTAATTTATATGAAATCGGTCCTTTTGTTTAATTTACATGAAAGTGGTCCTTCTGTTTAATTTACATGAAATCGGTCCTTCTGTTTGATTTTTATGAAATCGGTCCTTCTGTTTGATTTTTATGAAATCGGTCCTTCTGTTTAACTCTGTTAACGTTGCTTCTGAAGCAAACTACTTTTTGCCCGTCCGTGTTATTCTTGATGGGCATAATCGGCCAACTTGCACAGTCACCAACAAGCTCCCTGTGATTGGCCGATCCTGTATGAATTCTCCAACTTTACTGTCCTTTTTTGAATCAACACTCATGTGAAAAAAATTGTGATTGACTGATGGTGAAAGAATCCACAAATCTTTGATCAGCTGATTGCACAAAGATCAGGCAATCATGTAGATCGACTGATTGTACCCAACATCCATATTGTATATCTTGTGTCATTTCACCATGGTAACAGACGTCTTCTTACCAACAAGATTTAGATTTCAGCCTTACGTTCACATTCAAAGCACAATGGTATCTATGTGTATGTCTGTGCATGTGCCCCAGGTCTGAAGGCCAGGCAGTCTGTGAGCGAAAACGGCGGAGGTATGGTCCTTGAGATCGGAGCGTTGCGGGAGCGTCTACTCGAGGGCGCCGAGAGAGCTTGCCTGAAGAAGAAATGCAAAGATGGCACCGTTCGGGAATTCACCCGGGTCCACTCGGACCAGTTTGAATGTGAAGGTAGGCCAAAGGACTGAGGAGTTGATATTTGCCATTAACTCTAACCTCAAGAATGTATGAAGAATTAATATAGAAATTGGAGGCTTCAGGACTGTTTTATACTCGACACTTTGTGTGTTGATTACATGTAGCGGTGTTAGGCCGCAGGAAAAAATAAAATAGTTTTGTGTATCTACTGGGTTCCTTTTTTTCTGTCTTTCCTCTTTAAATTCTTTTTTTAAATTTGCAATTTCTTTTTCACTTTTTATTCGTTTTTCTGACTACATATTTGGAGCATGTTGAGTACTTTGGGTTGAAGTTTCTTTGCTTTAGACTCAAAAAATATCAGCAGAAGAGTCCAGAAAATCCACCTGCCATCTTGGAAAAATCCTCTACCTAAAAGAAGAGAACAATTCGAAAGATGGCTTCCTTCTTTTTTAAGCCTGAAATTTGCCACCCTGCCTTAGATGTGGAAGAAGTGCATTAATTGGCAATTTGCCAAGCTGCATACATTTATAATTAACTCCAAACTTGGACTGGTTACAATTTTTGTGGACACTGTGTATTCTTTTCTAGGATAGCTTTTGAACACTTTTTCCGACCCAAGTACATTTGTTAATTAAGTGTGTTATTCCATTTTTGTCAATGCGAATGTTTTGTAGAAAGCAAACTGAGGTTCAAAGACACAAGAGCAGCAACATTAGAAGCCGATAACAAGTCAACCTTGTGAAAGCAGAAGATGAAATTTCATAAGAATAATTTAGTTGTGTTTACTGGTATTTACAGAGCCCCATTTTTTGACAACGTGTGATTGCCAACGGATCATTTATTACCTACTCCTACACATTCGTAACCCTACCACGAGCCACATCCCCGGCACCAATAAACTGGTGCTGTACGAGAAACAACGCATCAGTAAGTCACGATTTCAGAAATTCAAAATTTAAAAAAAATGTGCCTTTGAAACCTTATTTTGTGGATGGATCAAAATCATTTAGCGGCCTAATTGCACAGTTTTGACAACAGATTGGTTCCAGAAATGTCTGTAGCCCTTTATTTTAGAGGTTAGAGGTCACTTTGCCTGTTCTTTAACCCTCCTATGCAAAGACACGTTCTCGAACCAGTTGTCCTATCAGTCAAAACCGGTCAAATTTCCCACATGTGTCTGTGTACTGGGGAGCGGGAGGAATTTTGACTGTTTTTGACAGTTACAATAAAAGGAGTTCTGCCAAAAATTTGTTAGCATTTTTTTGGGTTAATTCACAGGTGGTGCATCCCATAAGATTTGTGAGTTCATTATATGAATAGTTCAGTATTTTCATATTAAAAAATGGACACCTAGTGTTTATCTATGATTTCTGAATTAATTACTTTATCTTCATTGAAACAGAAATACACGTATTTTGCCTTACCATGTAAGGGACGGACAAATTGGACATTTGAATACAAGAGACTTCAAAATCCATTATTTTATTTTTTGCCGTCACAGTTCCCAAGTTAATGGATGCTGAGATCGTGACCCATCTGTACCCTCTGCACATTGCCAGCGAGCTCTCCTCGCTGACCAAGATATGGTACAAGAGCTTCAACAGTCTCAACGGACAGCCCATCGGTAAGACAGTAATCGTGGGGCTCAGCCTGGGCCTCAAGCTTGACCTATGGCGTAAGAATGAGCTTGACCCACGATGTAAGATACTTCTGTGCTGGGGAAAAAACATAAGGGCCAGTCCGGGAAAAGGTTCACTTTTTGTCCAATATGTAATGCCATGTTTTCTTTAATCAAGCACGGATTATTGGTGTTAAAATTCTTGATGTTCAACTTTAAAATGAAAAACACTGACATCCGTCACGGTGAAGTGTATTGATTGCAGAGGGTTCTGTGAATATTGAATATGGACGTCCACGTCTAGTATCATAATAAAGACCAACTTTTAACATGAGTTCTCTTCCATCCAAATGCATAAATAAAAGTACTTTATTTTTTTGTGAAAGGCAAACAAGTTTTATTTTAAGTATGACATCACTAAATTGAATTTGAAGTTTTAAAGAAAGTTTCTGAAAGACTTAAAAACTCTGTGTGTTCCCTACACTACCACAAAGTTTTTTTTTTCCATTTTTTGGTAAAACGCTGCAATCTAGAGAGAATCCGCGAGTACTTTGGTGAAGCCCTAGCAATCTACTTCTCCTTCCTTGGGTTCTACACGGCTGCCTTGGTGCTACCTGCTGTAGTGGGTCTTTTGTCCTACCTGCTCGCTGCCTTCCTGGGCCCGCCAAGCCACGGCTACGCCCTGTTTGCCATCTTCAACCTCCTCTGGACCACCCTCTTCCTGGAGGCTTGGAAGCGCAAGTGCGCGGGCATGGCCTACTCCTGGGGCACCTACGGCATGGTGAAGTTCGAGGAGCCCCGGCCGCAGTTCTACGGCCCGCTCCACCGCAACCCCATCACGGGCCGGGAGGAGCCACACTACCCGAAGTGGAAGCGCAACATGAAGAAGTTTGGCGTGTCCCTACCAGTCATCCTGGGCTTCCTGGTGGTGGCGTTCGGGATCATGCTGGCCAGCTTCACCTGCGAGGACTACATCAAGGCGCGGATGGACATCACCAAGATGCCGGGGAGTGTGGTTTTCCTGCTGCCCAGCATGATCTACGCGGTCGCCATTGTGGTCATCAACAAATTCTACCGGCAGTTGGCGTCATACCTTAATGACTGGGGTGAGTTTGGCCATCAACAAAAGTTTGTCAGCGATTTGTATTTTAGAAATCAATAAATCTGCCAGCGTGGCTTTTCTGTTAGTATTTCTACAAAATGTAGAATGCATTTTTATCTCAAAGTTCTTGTTGTCGGACCAATTAATAAAATTTTGAAAATGGTGGAAAATTATTTTGGTTTGGTTCATCAAGCAAGATTAACGTTTCAATTTACTTGAATGAAATGAGTTTTTAGTTTAGAAAAAAATCAAATTACAACAACTAAACTTCATAAAACATGCAAATAGTGATAAATCAATTATGTGACCCAAAGTAATTTGTTGTCTTTGCAGAGAACCACCGTCTAAATTCAACTCATGAGAACAACTTGATTATGAAACTGATCGTGGTAAGTTTGATTCTGGATGTGCATATCAGATGTAAATTGATGCACCAACTGACAACATTTGAACAGTCGACGGATTTGAATGGAAAAAAGTTTCATGGATTACTCTGTATCTTTAAGGAAGATAAATTGTAAGTTAAAAAATAATTTCAACTGTACAGGACAAGAAACGAGTTAATCAGTTATGTAATTCATGCCAATGATATATGATACTGTTTGAGGTGAAATTGAATTCTTGAACTCCACAGTTTGACTTTGCCAACTGCTTCATGGCCCTCTTCTACGTCGCTTTCTACCAGCAAGACATGGTTCGACTGCAGAAGGTGAGTCTACGAATGTCAATGCCGAGTCCTTTCAGGGCAAAGTCTAGCTTAGATCAGAGGAGGCAAGGGACATTACGGGTGTATTGTACGTGAGTGTGAGCGAGGATTTGAAAAGTAGTTCCTGCCCGCATCAATAACTGTGCTGTCACTTTGGAACTGGCTAGGTGACCTTTTCAAAGATATCCACTTCCAGTTACAAAAGATTTGCCGAGGGTGTTGTCTTTATTTGTGCGCATTCAGTTGAAAACTCATTTTGCCAGCAAGATGAATGGTGTGACTTGAAAATGTGGAAGCCACCGAGTGTGCGCATGATGTTTTGTCATTTGGCTTTTGACAACACAGCACCCTCTATGTGCCACGCGCGGAGCTGATATAAATACGACTTTCTATCGCAATTTTAGCATTTGCATTATTAGACCATGCTTTGGATTTGTGCTACAACCTGAACTGGCAAGCACACGAAATCACCCCGGATGGTTGTCGCGGGCATTAGATTGTGCAGCGCCCTCAGTCGTCTATGCATACAGCTGATAGAACTTTTGCTGTCTTTATTTATGACGTCTGCAGTACCTGGCCACCCTCCTGATTGTCCAGCAACTCATCGAGCAGTTCCTGGAGACGGGACTGCCTTACCTCATCCTACGCTTCTGGCGCAAGGGGGACAAGGTGCTGGAGGCAGCTGAGAAGAAGAAAGACGACGACGCCAACGTGGAGGCGGCCAAAGGGCTCGCCGAGGAGCAGAGCAAGATGGACGTCTATCCCGTAAGAAGAAAAAGGGGTGTGGCTCGAGAGGGAGAGGAATAAATTTAGCCGTGAAGAGGAGCAGTAACTTGGGCTCCAAGCTCCCTCCTTGGGCTCCATTAGGCTTGTCGGTCTCCACTTTTAGGAATGATCTCGTGAAACTGAAGCTGAATTGTCGTGACAAAGCTGAGATTTGGAAAATAGTACGCAACTTTAAATATGCAAATGACGTTTCCAATTCATGATGCACTGTATTGGCCATGTTTCAGTTTTCAACAAACTAATTGGTTGAATCCTGTATTGGCAATGTTTCATTTTCTACAAACTAGTTGGTTAAATCCTGTATTGGCAATGTTTCATTTTCTACAAACGAGTTGGTTGAATCCTGTATTGGCAATGTTTCAGTTTTCTACAAACGAGTTGGTTAAANAGCAGTCAACGGATTTGTACGGAAAAAAGTTTCATGAATTACGCTGTATCTTTAAGGAAGATAAATTGTAAGTTAAAAAATAATTTCAACTGTACAGGACAAGAAACAAGTTAATCAGTCATGTGATTCAAGCCAATGATATGTGATACTGTTTGAGTTGAAATTGAATTCTTGAACTCCACAGTTTGACTTTGCCAACTGCTTCATGGCTCTCTTCTACGTCGCTTTTTACCAGCAAGACATGGTCCGACTTCAGAAGGTGAGTCTACGAATGTCAGTGCCGAGTCCTTTCAGGGCAAAGTCTAGCTTAGATCAGAGGAACCAAGGGACATTATGGGTGTATTGTACGTTAGTGTGAGGATTTGAAAAGTAGTTCCTGCCTGCATCAATAACTGTGCTGTCACTTTGGAACTGGCTAGGTGACCTTTTCAAAGATATCCACTTCCAGTTAAAAAAGATTTGCCAAGGGTGTCGTCTTTATTTGTGCGCATTCAGTTGAAAACTCATTTTGCCAGCAAGATGAATGGTGTGCCTTGAAAATGTGGAAGCCTCCGAGTGTGGGCATGATGTTTTGTCACTTGGCTTTTGACAACACAGTACCCTCTATGTGCCACGCTCGGAGCTGAGCATTATTAGACCATGCTTTGGATTTGTGCTGCAACCTGCACTGGCAAGCACATGAAATCACCCCGCATGGTTGTCACGGGCGTTAGATTGTGCAGCGCCCTCAGTCGCTTATGCACACAGCTGATAGAACTTTTGCTGTCTTTATTTCTGACGTCCGCAGTACCTGGCCACCCTCCTGATTGTCCAGCAGCTCATCGAGCAGTTCCTGGAGACGGGACTGCCTTACCTCATCCTACGCTTCTGGCGCAAGGGGGACAAGGTGCTGGAGGCAGCCGAGAAGAAGAAAGACGACGACGCCAACGTGGAGGCGGCCAAAGGGCTCGCTGAGGAGCAGAGCAAGATGGACGTCTATCCCGTAAGAAGAAAAAGGGGTGTGGCTCGAGAGGGAGAGGAATAAATTTAGCCGTGAAGAGGAGCAGTAACTTGGGCTCCAAGCTACCTCCTTGGGCTCCATTGGGCTTGTCGGTCTCCACTTTTAGGACTGATCTTGTGAAACCGAAGCTGAATTGTCGTGACAAAGCTGATATTTGGAAAATCGTACGCAACTTTAAATATGCAAATGACGTTTCCAATTCATGATGCACTGTATTGGCAATGTTTCAGTTTTTACAAACTAGTTGGTTAAATCCTGTATTGGCCATGTTTCAGTTTTCAACAAACTAGTTGGTTGAATCCTGTATTGGCAATGTTCCATTTTCTACAAACTAGTTGGTTAAA